AGTTACCTAGTGGCGAGACAACACGTAGAAAATGGTTATCTTACTCTATAACTGAGAACAAGTTATATTGTCTTTATTGTGCATTATTTGGTCGTGGATGTAAAGAAAATTGGTCAAAAATTGGATTTTGTAATTTTAGAAAAGGAGCATTTAGTATTGCTGTACATGAAACATCTGAACCACATATTTTGGCTTCAATAAAAGTTGCTTACAGAGAAGCTGCGTTTCCAATCATACCGTCATTAAAGGAGGCAGTTGTTGCTAACGCTGCATTTAATCAAGAAGTAGTCAGACATTTAATTGATATCACATTGTTTTTAGGACGTCATTCCTTGCCTTTTCGTGGGCATAGAGAAGGTTGGGACGAAAGTAATAAGGGGAATTTTAAAGATCTGGTGTTATTGTTAGCGAAGTATTCTCCTGCCTTATCATCGTATGTATCAACTGTTAAATCAAAAGGTAGAAAAATGGTCAACTTTATATCATGGGAGCGACAAAATCAACTGATTCTAGCCATTACAAAGCACATCCAAGAAATTATAAAAAAGGAAATTACTAGTTCAGTTTTTTTTAGTTGTTCATTAGATACAACGTTTGATTTATCTAAAAAAGAACAGTTATCTTTAGTTATCCGATACATAAATCAAGATAATGGAAATGTGTGTGAAAGGTTAATTGCATTACGTGAAACTGTTCTAACTTCTGGACAACATTTGTTGACAATGTTTGATGGTATATGTTCAGAAATGAATTTAAATTGGAAAACCAATCTGATTGGACAGTCGTACGATGGCGCAGCATCTATGCGAGGCACTTATAACGGTCTTCAGGCTTTGATTAAACAACAAAACCCAAGTGCCACGTATGTTTGGTGTTGGGCTCACCGTTTTAATTTAGTTATTGTAGATGCTGTTAGTTGTTGCTCAGAAGCTCGAGATCTTTTTGGAAATCTAGAAATATTATACACTTATATGGGAAGCAGTAAGAAACGTACACATTGCTTCACTAAACATCAGGAATTAAGATATCCAGGAAAACCTTTACGCAGGCTTAAACGAGTTGAAACTACACGTTGGTCGTCTCATTCAAGTGCCCTCATGACTATTTTTTGTACTTATGAAGCGATAGTTGATGCTTTAGATGAATTAAAAAATGATTCTACAACGGATAGAGTATCAAGTGTGCAGGCTGAAGGTTTACTTTATTATTTGTTTCAAGAACGTTTTTTGCTGACTGCCTTATGTTTTAAAAATATTTTTGATACCACAAGTATTCTCAGTAAATGTCTTCAAACTGTAGACATTGATTTATTGGCTGCTATAAATTATATGCAAAACTGTCTTGCAAAGATGAAAAAGTTCCGGTGTGATGAAGAATTCAACAAACTACTAGAAGAAAAAGAAAATTTTATTGAATCTAAAGAAGATATAACTTTTATTCCTTTACCATCAAAACGTATTCGCCGTGTTAAAATTAGAGCTGGAGAAACATCCTCTGATGAGTCAATAATTGACCCAATCCAAAATTTTAAAATTAATGTTTATTTTACAATCGTAGATATTGTAATAACACAAATATCAGATCGATTTAATGACCATTCAGTACCTTTATTTAAAGATTTGGCTCTATTCTCGCACAAAAGACTTGAAGAAGTAGCTAAAACATCTTACATCTCAGACGATGCTTTTAAAGCATTTTGTGATGTTTACAGTCAGTTTGTTGAGTTGAATACATTGCGAAAAGAATATATCCAATTTTCCAGCTGTTATTGTGAATTTGAAAAAATAATGATATTACCACAAAAAATGCATAATGATGAATTGTTAAACGAATCTGAAGAGGAATTTGAAAGTGATGAAGAGCCTAATAATATACCAAGTCAAAATAAAAAGAAAGAAAATTGTGGATCAATAGAAAAAATTTACAAAATATGTCGTTCATTTGGCTTAAAAGAAATCTTTCCTCACATGTATACGGCTTTAAGCATAGCTTTGACATTGCCAGTATCTAGTACCTCTCCAGAACGCGCATTTTCAAAGCTTAAGTTAATTAAAAATCGCTTACGTTCGACAATGAATGAGGAGAGGCTTGAAGCATTGATGATTATGTCATGTGAGTTAGATGTACCTATTGATGTTGGAACTGTAATTAGTTTGTTTGCATCCAATAGTTCTGCACTTGCAAAATTACTATTTTAAGAAACTACGATATGTCGATATAATATATTATACTTAAATGTCTAATATGTGCAATTAATTTGTATTATTAAATATTATAAGATATTATTATTTTCATTGAAATAATCATTTATATACATTTTTTCTATGTAATATTTATGGGGTCCTATGATAAAAATATCAAATATATGTACCTACAAAGACTACAACAAATACTTTGTAGATTCAAAATTGTTTGTTCAGAAATGTGGTACACTAAATTCCTTATACAGATTTAATAAATGGGTAAATGGTTATATTAGGGTATATTAATAAGGTAAAATATGTTTATTGTATTTTACATTAAATTACTATAATATTAGGTATAGGTTATTAAATTATTAATCTAGCACTTAATGTTTGTTTAATAATGCAAATAAATAAGATTTGATCTTTTCAATGTTCATGATAAAAATGTGGTCTATATTTCACTGCGACACTGGCGGCGATAAAAATTATATAGTTGTATCACATGTATCTATCGGTAGGTGTGTCTACCCATACATTTTAATACCTACCACAACTGGATGTCCGGATACAAATATTAAAAAACTGGCATGATAATTGAAATAGGTATCAAACTTAAATGTTTTGGAAGGGGGGTAGGTGGGTGGGTGTGTAATTAATTTGATTTCGCTCCACTTAAATTTATAAGACTCGGCGCCACTGGTAGGGGCTCGCTCGGGCTCAAAACTGTCCACACAGCGAATTCCCTTAGTCCGTGTGACACTGTCTGTTCACACATTAATATGCTTACACACTATTCTATATTACACTATAACTATATCTCATACTGCGTATAATATACAGACAGGGGTTCACAACAATGTTGTAACCCCGTTATCGATTGTTTTGAATAATTTTCATTTTTTTCTTTATGTAAAACAGCTATAGTATCTTCTAACAAATATTTTGATCTGTAAATACTCATACAAACACCTGCTATAGTTGTATAGCAAAAAGGATCAATGCTAGCTATATCCAAAACTTGTTTTCTTAATTCTAAACATCCTTCGTAAAATATCTAAATCTGTAAGCCTCTAATTCTTCTTTAAAAATAAATATATAATTTTCATTAATTTTTCATTATACCATTTTTCAAATTCTAGTTTATCCTCTGGTTTCATTGTTTCGACTCCATAATATTTTTTATCAGGTAATTTACCAATATAATTTTGATTTTCTACTGTATTAAAGAAATGCGGAAAGTAACCTTTATTCAGTTCTTTGAGACCAAACGTTTTGGGAAAACTACTGAGAGGATCTTGAATAAAATTAGAACCATCTATTATTCTTATACTTAAATATTTAATTTCTAATAACATTAATTTTGTACCATTATAAATTGTAAATGGTTTCAGAGTGTTATCAACCAAGTATTTCAATATAAATTGTGAATCGTATCCTTTTAAAGAATGTGCTATAAATGTATAACCCCTATAATATTCCTCGGATATTACATGTTTACAAAATTCTTCATTTGTATCAAACATAATTTTATTTCCTTCAAAATCATGGGCAATTATTTTATTTGCGATATGAGTTCCTGTTTCTTGTTGAGCTTCATAATCAAAAAAACAAATATTTTTCTGTATAAGAACATTTATATGGTTTATTTGTACCTCCACATTTTGTAAATCCTACTAAGCATTTACCTCCTTTTGCTAATCTACGTTGCATATAACATTGATGTTCATTTATTTTCACTTCTTCTAGACAATTTCTACATTTACTATAACCACAATTATGTACACTACCTCTAAACAATATTCTATTACAATCAATACATTTATATACATGGACACATACATATTCGTGATTATCTAAACATTCTTGATTATAATAATATCTATTACATTTTTCACAATTTATTTTATTTTTTGTACTACTTGAATGTTCAAATCTCTCACCATAATACATTTATTTTTATTTTTATCACATTTATGTTTATCGTTATTTTGATATGGTTTATCGCACTTATTACAATAATAACACGATCCGTAGAAAGCTTTAGCTGATTTAATTACATCAAAATGATTACCATTTTTATACAAATAAATTTTAGTTTCTTTATCCTCACCCTTATAAATTAAAGTATTTAAATTTTCAGCACAAATAACATTTATTTGAATATCTAGTGCAAGTTCCACGTTCTTAATAATTCGACTATCCAGTTCAAGACTGCAACAACTCAAAAAACAACTTTTTTCAGGAGAGCGATTTGAAAAATCATTGAATGTTTGGTCAATTGTAATTTATAAAATATATTATCTAGGAATACAATTTTTGGTATACACATAGGTCTTTAATTAATGTTTCCATTGTTACTAATATCATATAAATATATCAATTAATTTAATGAGTTGTGATCACATATTGCAGTTTTAAATGTAAATATTTTTTTAATAAGGCAGTATGTCAAAATATTGCACTTATTGAATTGAAACCCAATACATATTTTATTAGTTATAACTATGAAAATAAACCAAAACAAAATTCCTTTATTTAAAAAAAAAATAATAAAAAATAATTTTTGAATAACTTCTATATACCTTCTAATAGGTTAATAACAAAATAAAACAAACTAAAAAGAATTACACTTTTTTTAAACAAATAATTAAACAAACAAATTTTGATTACTTTTTACTATCACAAATATTATTATTTAGATCTAATTTTACATTAATATGTTTATTAAAAAAAACTTATAGTTAACTATATTAAAATAGTTAAAAAATGTGTTAGTTGTTTAAAATATTTTAAATTAAATCTAAAACTAGGTATTTAAGTTTCACTATCAGTATCAACAATTCTTTTTGAATTTTTTGAGTCTACTTCTAATTGTTGATAAAATGCCCAATGGTTTTTAGGAATTGCATGTGAGTTAAATAATGCTAATAAGTCTTTCTTTTTCTCTTGACTAATTTTTGGTGTATTCTGTAAAGCACACAATTTTAAGTCTTTAAAAGTTTTTCTGCATTTTTTTCTGGTATCAATAATTTTATAACTTGTATCAGCATAGCTTGTTTTATATTTTAACAAATATGGATTATCATATTCGATTCTTATCATTTTGATTGAACTCCATAATACATTTTCATCAGTTTCATTTATTTTAAAATTTTGTCCGACGTCTAAAGCCAGTTGCTTAAGGCGTAGGGCTATAATAATCCGGAAAGTATATTTCGGGACCGTATAATTCCGGAACGTATTTATCCGGACTGTATTTCGACGGAATCCAAAAAATATAAACCGTATTTTAACGGAACGTATAGTTCCGGAAAGTATATGTCCGGACCGTATAATTCCGGAACGTATTTATCTGGACCGTATTTCGACGGAATCCAAAAAATTAAAACCGTATTCTTCCGGAACGTATATGACCGGAACGTATTTGACCGGACTCTTAAAAGGTAAAAACCGTATTCATCCGGACCGTATTTGCCCGGAACGTATTTGTCCGGAAAGTATTGTAAATTGCCTAAATTAAACCCCTTGCATAACACCAGAACAATTAATAATCGGTTGGTGTATTTTTATTTAAAAAAAATTGTTTGTTTTGAACTGTTTTAGATTTTGAGTGGAACGATCAATGTATTGATTTTACAATGATGTGTGTTTTTTTATTTTTTATTTTTATTTTGTGTATGTCATCACCTTTTAGGACAGTAAAAGTGCTTGGATTTTCTTCAACAGTATCTTTTCTGATAGGAAAGTGAATCTAGTAGGTAAAGTAAAAATAGTAGTTTTCAAAAGCGCCATGAAAAACTAAAGAAAATTTAAGGAAAAACGGGAATTTTTAGTTTTTACGCAAAATCTGTTTTCGAAAAAAATGATTTTGGTTTTTGGTGCAACTCTTAAACAAATAATCTTAGGCACATGAAATTTTGAGTGAATGTTTATATTAGCATTTTCTATATACCATAACGTTTTCCAAATATTTTGACTTATTTTGAGCTGTTTACGGACATTTTCAGTTTCCATTTTTTTTGTTTTTTCTTCTATAAATATCAATAAAATTTTATTTGTTGGTTAAAAAAGCTTGAAAATGTAATAGAAGGCTCCTAGTATATTGTTTCAAAAGCAGATGAAAAAAATTAAAAATCCATCGTCACAATTTTTTATTAAAGTATTAAAATTACTTTAAGTTCAAATATTTATTACGTAAAAATGACGAAATTTTACAAATTATTTTGAGTTAGAAATTCATTAAAAATGTTCTTTTTAAATCTAAGATTTTAAAATGTAATACAAGATTTCTCATAAGTTTGTCTACCTTTATCAAAAAAAAAACATATCTACAAGAAACTCAAATTAAATTTTTATGAGCGTTTGAAATTCAAATATTTACAACATTGGATATTCACTCGATTTCTCACGTAGTGATTTCCTCCTTTTGTTGTAATTCAAAAACGAATAACTGTAGATTCATTTAAATTTCACTGAAGGTTTATATTAGCATTTCCTATACACCATACAATTTTGAAAATATTTTGATTCTTTTTGAGATGTTTACGGACATTTACAGTTTTCAATTTTTTTAGTTTTTTTTTTTTTATAAATATCAATAAAGTTTTATCTGTTGGGCCAAAAATGTTGTATATGATTGTATAATATTATTCGTGGGTACTTGAAACTTCTACAGTACACTATTATATATCTAATAGATATTATCTATGATAGTATCAGGGTTTGTTGTTGATGTATAACGCGTTAAAGTACCTAATGGATATTGTGATATGAGTAATTTGGATTTTATTATAGGTACCTATTATAGGTCAATTTTTTTTTTTAATACCATAGATATGTATATAATATGTCTTATACCTAGACTGACATATCGTCTTCGCTCAGAATCGTTTTTCTTATACAATGATATTATATCATTGAATTAAAATTTAATACCATCCATTATACAGTGACCCACTTGTAACCTACTGTATAGCAGAGCACCTTTTTTTTATTTTGTTTCACCCTTTATTTTTTAATAACTGATAAGTGTTATACCAATTAATTGAAATTATTACTTTCCTAATTATAACATTTTGATCAAATTACTAGGTGTTTAGTTATTCTTAATTTTACAGTTTTAGTCAATAATTTAAGTTAGATAACTTATTATTTACATTTCAACAAAACGGTTTTTTAATCTATAAAAAAAACCCAATGTTCGCGCCAAGCAATTAACGCTTATCGCGGGACGCAAATCTGCTACGGTGACATCGTCTCTCTTCTTCAGTGTTCAGCAGCACCTCGCTAAACACCAAATAAGTTGGCACTTCAATCCTCCCGCATCTCCCCATTTTGGGGGTTTATGGGAGGCCGGAGTAAAATCCGCAAAGTCATTAATTCTTCGGTCCATTGGATTGCACAAATTGACGAGTGAGGAATTTTTGACACTTCTCACTCAAATAGAGGCAACATTGAATTCTCGCCCATTGTGTGCTATCAGCAACGACCCAGGTGACTTAGAAGCGTTGACGCCCAGTCATTTTTTGACTCTTGAACCTTCCACCTCGCTGCCAGAACCAAGCCTCGTCAATCAACCTATGTCAAAGTATCAGCGGTGGCGCCTCATTGCTGATTTACATCGCCACTTCTGGACCAGATGGAAGAACGAATACCTCAGTAGTCTTCAACTTCGTAGAAAATGGACGGAACCAGGTCAAGAATTACGCATTGGTGAGCTTGTCCTCGTGAAAGAAGCGACGCATCCTCTTCGTTGGCGGATTGGACGAATACGTGAACTCCATCCTGGCTCCGACGGGACTTCCAGAGTGGCCACTTTAGAAACTACTTCTGGACCGTTGACACGCCCAGCCGTCAAGCTCTGTCCACTCCCAATGTCTTGAAGGGATATTCCTTCAAAGTGGGCGGTGATGTTCGCGCCAAGCAATTAACGCTTATCGCGGGACGCAAATCTGCTACGGCGACATCGTCTCTCTTCTTCCGTCCACTCATCCTCTCTCCTACATGCCGTTATTAATGAAAAAACGATTAGGTATTATGAATTGTATTATTGTTATATGTTTTGATTTATATTCTCTTTGTGTTTGTCTTAACAATTATCTGTCGGCCTTTTGCCTCAGATAGTACTACACTATTATCAATATTATTATATCTTTTGTTTTTGTTTTTGTTTACAATCTGCGGCCAACGCCCTACAATTATTGTTCGTGCTGTTCTTTTTTTTTGGTCCGCTAGTACAGCGTCCATATATATATATTTTTTCTATGATCTGCTCATATAGCGATCAAAATATTATTATTAAAATAAACATATTATACTATTGTGAGTTGCTAATACAGCGATCCGCGATTTGTATGTTTGGGTCCGCTATTAAAGCGAGCACCACAAATATTCATTTGTTATTGTATATCTTCAAGTGCACACGGTTGCCAAATTATTATTATTTATATATATATTGTGCGAATGATCGGAGCTGCAAATAAAGATACGCTGATCAAACAAAATCGTAAGTCTTTATTTATTCTATTCTCATCGTCATCCTTGGGAGTTCGTTGGTGTCAACGTCGGTGCCGTCCGGTTCTGCGCGTAAGTCCGCCAGCAACGTAGGTACATACGTTGTGTGAGAGGCCGCCCCAGGTCGTCCAGGTCGACGTACACCAACATCGTCAGTCAGTGGGTCGTCTCAAGACTACAATAGGGTTAAGTTAGTTTTTAAGGATTATCCCTATTGTTGTGAGCTCTGTGGTCATTGCACCAAACCGAATCGGCCACAGAGACCCCCTCCCCATAACTAGCTTGCACCTTCCTCACTCCTTCGTTAGGTAGTTCTTTTCCGTCGTCGTCGGTGTCGTCGTGGTGCGTAGAATTGCCTACCCACCAAACATTAGGCGAAAGCACAAATGGTTGCCTACCTACGAAATAGTAGGCGGCAGGTGTGACATAGGCCAAACTTCTTAATCACCTCAAAAACAAATTGTTTCTCGGGCATCACCGAGTGGTCCTTCGGGTGTTATGGCCGAATTCTCGGGCGTAAACACCCAACTTCTAACTTCTACTCTAACTTTAGTTACTATTTACACTAAAACTAACTAAGTTAGAAATTTAGACAATTTCAGAAACTAACATATATTCTAACTTGGTTAGTTTTTTTAATTTAAGTAACTTAACTTCAACTAGTTGAAAAAAATTACTAACTTGCCCAACTTTGAATACAATGAATTGTAACATCTGACTACTACAATAGAATTTTTTAGGCATTTTGAATTAAAAATACATAGGCACAATTTTTTTTTATAAGCATTTAAAGATCGAATTTTGACAACATTTATTAAAATCTCGAGAATTATCAATCATTGTAATTAATTAATTATAAAATGTTCAGTTTTTATATCTAAGTTTTATAGCTAAGGATTGCAAATTTAAAACAAAGGTTCTCATAAATAGTTCACACTGTAACCAAAAAATCTAAAAAATATATGAACACAGTTATTTTTTACAGACATTTTAAATTCAAATTTGGACGAAATTACATAATAAAAAACCTAGAATTATTATTTTAGTTATTTTGTTGTATAATATTATTATAGGGTAGGTACTTGAAATTTCTAAAGTATACTACTATATATCTATGATAGTATCAGGGTTTGTTGTTGGTGTATAACGCGTTATCAGTACCTAATGGATAGTGTGATATGATTGATTTGGAACATAGGTCAATTTTTTTTTTAATAGTTTCTGCTCAGAATCATTTTTCTTATACAATGATATTATATCATTGAATTAAAATATAATACCATCCATTATACAGTGACCCACTTGTAACCTACTGTACAGCGGAGCACCTTTTTTTCTGTTCAAAATGATTTTTTAAACAAAAAAATTGTTTGAGTTGTAAGCAGTTCAAACAGTATATTATTTAAAGCGGTTTACAACAAAAAAACGGCCACGGCCCAATGTATTGATTTTACAACGATTTGTGCTTTTATATTTTATTTTTAATTTGTGTCTACCATATTAGGACAGAAAAAATGGTGTGATTGTATACTTCAGCATTTTTTCTAATAGGAAAGTGAATCTAGTCGGTACTTTGTTGGCTCAAAATT